CCGCGTGCCCAGCCGATGGTGCTGCCCGGTCAGTCGGCCGAAGCGCCTAGGCAGAGCATGGACGCTGCGCACGCTGCGCCGGCGTCGAGCAGCGTCGAGGTGAGCGTGACGGACATCAGCGCGAATGCGGAGAGCGGGCGTGCGGTGGACTTGCGCACGTTCGAGGTGATGATCTCGGTGGAGGGTGTAGGCGAGGCGAGCGGGGCCGGTGCGGACGGATTCGTGCTGGTGCGGAGGTGGCACGAGTTTGAGCAGATGGACGCCGAGGTGCAGCGCCAGCCGCGCTCGAGCCGTCCGCTGCCGCGGCTGCCCGTGGTCAAGGGACGACGGAGCTCCGAGGTGTGCGGTGCGCTCGAGGCGTATCTGGGCGAGCTGCTGCATGCGGACCAGCGTGCGCAGCTGGCGGCGGTGGGCGGCGCAAGGCGATTCCTGGACCGTACGCGTGCGGGAGCGTCGGTGGAAGATCTGCGCCGAAAGGGGGGCGCAGGTGCGCTGCTCGGCGGCATTGGCAAGGGCATCGTCAACGGCGTGGGCATGGTTGGCAAGCAGACGGCCAAGACGGCCACCGCGACGGCTGCGACTGCAGCGACCGCAGCGACTGCAGCAACGGCGGCGACAGGGATGCAGGCACCGGGATCGCCCGTGGCCGATTCGGCATCGGGCACGACGTCGGCATTTGTGTCGCGCGCGAATTCGCCGTCTACTTCGCCGTCTCGCCGTGCGGGCCGGGAAGGCGCAGGGATGGGCGGTGGTGGTGGTGGTGGTCAGGCGGCGGGCGGCGTGGCCAAGTCGGAGCTGAGCGCGCGGCAGTTGGACATGCTGCTGTCGTCGATCTTTGCGGTGGCGGACGAGGCGTTCAACGTGCAGGGCGGGTGGACGCTGCGACGCGGGATGCTGCGAGTGCTGGAGCAGGTGGTGCGCACGACGTACGCGTCTTCGATTGTGGCCGGCTTCAACAATGCGGCTGCGGGGCTGAATGTGGAGAATGCAGCCAAGTGGATTGCGCAGCTGACGGAGACCATGTGGCCGAACGGACGGCGATGGGGGTCCGAGATTGGCACGCCGGACGAGGTGGTGCCGCGGACGGAGGCGCAGAAGCGTGCTACGGCGGAGCGCGCGCGCCAGATCGTCGTGTCGTATGCACCGGCGCAGGCGGGGTACGTGCTGGGACCGGGAGGCAAGATGGCGTGCGTCAAGGCGCTCGCCGAGGTGCACGAGACAATCATGGACCCCATCACGGCGTCCGACCTTGGGCTCACGGTGGTGCTCAAGGCGCTCGACATGGCGAGTCGCTAGCTCCAGCACTGGCCGCCAACCAGCTGCCGATGCCAATGATTTCAGAAGAATAATTCAGGGTGTGAATGCGCGCCAGGGTCTGTGTTATTCTTTGGGAGGAAGCTGCGCTGCGGTGGAAGAAGGGTTCGCGCGCGCATGCACCTCAAGCGAGGGGTGCGTCGCTCATGCGCGGAGGTGCGTGGATGGTGCGGGGAAGCTGGAGCTAAAGCTGAAGATGAATGCTGGTGGCCAAGCGCGGCCATGCGAGGTGCATCTCGGTAGAGGCGGTTGCGGGGAAAGCAACGGCCACGCTTCGAGTGTGGGGAAGGCAAGCGTACGACGACCCTCGACTCGGGCGAGAAAAGTCAGACTTCATGCGATGGTCCGACGTGCATTTCACGCGCAAAGCGGGTCTTTTCGAGCTGCAGCGCTGCGTGACGCGCCACCACCATGGTCCCGCTGGGTGTGCATGCGTCCGTCTAAACTACTTTCGGCTCAAGACACAGTGTTGGTGGCTTAGATAAGGCCGCAGTCGCTGTTCGTTGGCAGAGTGAGGAGCGCGCCAAAGGGGCGGGGGAAGGAATGGAAAGGGTCCTGCTGGCTGGGATCGACAGTGGCGAGGCGAGGCCTCGAGGTGGGTCCGCGCGCGCAGCCAAGATGCGGCGTGAAAGCAGCGAAAAAAAAAGGGCGCGCGTGAGCGCCTTCTCGGCTGGATTACAAACCCAGTCGACTCGGATTGGACGCCGATTTTCTAGGCCAAGGTGAAGCGCTCAGCGACCCTGATGAAGAGGACCGGACAGAGAGGGCTCCGGTGGTGCCGCCTGTCAACCGGTCCATCGAGTGGACTGTTGTGCCGGAGTACCACTGCCTCCCGCTCCCCCC